ACAATGTATGCAACAAAGTAATATAAATTTTCATCCATAAACTCAAATGGAAGCATTATTTTATGACTGTTTCCAGTCCCTGTTCCCCATAAGTACATTTCTCTGTCTCATAGCAGCAGTAGTAGGGGCCGAAATCAGATGAGAGGAAGTGGAAACAGAAATATAAAAAATAATAAAAAAATATTTTTTAATCCTTTTTGAGACAAATATTTTTACAAGTTGAATAAGCATCATTATTTCTTTTGTGAAGTTTGGTTAGTAAAGCATAGATTAAATGGATTGCCTGAGGTCATGTGAACTTTTCAAATATTTTCAAAATCTCAGATTTTGAAATCTGAGATTTCAGTTAGTTTCATGGGGTTATGACTCACTGACATTACCACCATTAAAGGAAATATGAACATTAGTTTGTACTTAAATTTTCTGCCTTAATAGAAACTTTTATTATGCTCTGTTTTAAAACAAATCTTCATTAGGAATGAATTTATTTTCAGTATATGTTTTTAAGTATATTTATAAATGAATGTTTGACTAATTTAGTATTTTCATGGCTTCTTAAATTACAGTTATGTCTAGAAAAAGGTAACCGTAATCTTTAAAAACTTTTTGACTGCTGTAAGGCCTTTGACTTGAAATAGCATGATGTCTTGAGTAATAACCAAAACTTATTCAAAACCAACCTTACAAACATTAAGCAGATTAGAACTGTTTGAAAAAATAGGGTGAAAGTGTAATGATAAACAAGAACTCAGCATTGAACAGTCATGTTTCTGTGCATTTGTCTGCTTGGGAAAGGCAGTTGGTACTGTATTATTTAGATGGAGTTCAGAGTTGGTTTTTAGAAACACCCTGGGAAACACAATTGTTGCCAGCAGTATTTGCGGATGCCACAAAGACTGTGGATATATGAAATAATGAAGAGCACAGGTCACTGGGCTCGAAGAAACATGTTTCAGTGCAGTGAAACATAGGGACGTACATCTAAGAGCTACAGGAGGAGAACTGGGATGGGAGTTGTCTTTGGAGTGGTGTCTGAGAAAAAACACTGGCATCGTGGTAGACCATCAGTCAAACTTGGGCCCCCATCTGATCCTGTGGCCAAGGGGACTCATTTAGGTGTGCAAACAAGAATATGAAGTGCTGGTAGAGAAGTGGTGTCACCGTTGTATTTTTTTCCTTCTGTGGCTGCTACAGTGGGGTTTCCAGGTCTGGGCTCCACACTTCAGAAAAAAGATGACAAATTGAAGAGGGCACAGAGAAGAGACACAGACTAATTAAATGATTAGAAAAATATGATTTCTACAGAAAGACTTAGGAGCTCAATTTATTTAGATTATCAAAGAGAAGGTTAATGGGTGATACGATCACAGTCTCTAAGTACCTACAAAATAAAGAGAAATTTCATAATAGAGGACTCTTCAGAGCAGGGAAAAAGATATCACAAGAGCCAGTGATGCTAGGTGCTGCAGTGAGACAAATTCAGACTAGGAATAAAATCCTGTTTTCTTGTTTAAACAGTGATGACCGTTGCTCTCTGAAATAAGTTACTGAAGGTGCCACTAAATTTTCCATTACTAGACTTCTTAAGTCAAGGTGGAATGCTTTTGTTAGAGGACATTGTCTTGTTCCATCTCTGCTCCCAGAGTTAAAGAAGAAATTAAGACAAGAATGTTTAATAATTACATTAAGAACCGTTCATACTAGAGAACCACAGTGGTAGCATCCAGTTGTTGAAATGATGATGAAAACTGTGTTTCTTTTAACATGCTGGACTCAGTCTGGCAGGGTCTTTAGGCTTGCCTTCTTATTGAAGGCTCATCACCAAGTATTCTTGACTTAATGGGACCATTCTTATGGATCAGAACCAGTGTACTCAACACTGGGACTAGGAATGCTTTTTTTGCAGTGGTGGTAAGTTATCCCAGGTGTAAGGGTGCTTTCCAAAGCAAGAACCTCACGGAATGATGATGTGATTCCAGCCAGTGGCCTCCAGCCGTAGGTTGCTGTGCTGCAGCAGAAGCCTGTTGCCCCTGCAGCTCAATGGTGGTACCTAGAACTGGCTGAGAACACCTTGTCTGCGTCACCAATGGCCTGGGTTCTCCATCGCACTGAATGCTTGCATGGGCTGGCAGCTTCGCTGGCATGCTTCCTGGGCACATGCTACCTACCTATTTAACAGAAATGAGGCCCCTCCTGCAAAATACCGTCAGTCCCCCCAGGACCAGATCGAATCTTTAGTGGCATAAACCCACTTCTTTGACACTTATAATGCTGTGTTAAATGGCACGATGTTGATGCTTTCTATAATGTTCATCTATCTGGTATAGGCTTTTACAACCTTCTCCAGTCCTTCCAGCCCCAAAGTTCCTACTTCAATAACCCGTTAGGTGCTGATACAAACAATAAATAAATCTCATAAATGTTTCTTTGTCTTAGTTTTCCCATCACTTACTAATAATTTTGGTCATTAAGAGGCATGCAGTATCCATTCTTTCGGTCTTGCTTTGCCTATTTGTCTCTGTTCTGCACAGGCTCCCTTCTTTCTACTTGGGCTAGTTTCCAGATTAAATGGCTCATTTTCTCTGTACCTCTTTCTCCACTCCAAGCTTCCTGTGAAGTTATGTGTATCTTCTCCAGATCCATACAGCTTTTGTACTGGTAAGGGATAGGATGAATGCTTTGGTTTCACTTTTATATGCCACATTAATTCTTGCTTCCAAAACATCAGCATGCAGTAGAGTGGCCAGAGAAAATAAAGTTGTTCTGACCTCATTAGGTCATGGCATCTACAGTTTCCATTTAAATGGTTGATCAGAAAAGTTTACCTACTAACCACTCTTCTGGTCAAACAAGTCTGACTTGACAATCATTAGCAAATGATAGACTGCATATACACCGACACCTTCATGAAAAGAACTATAATATCAGAAAAAGAATATAAGGTAATTCTGGGGAGATCTCCCAAATCATGTTAATAGGGTCCTAAATCATTACAGCAGTTCTTTATTAAACTATCTTCCATTCCTAGTCTTTAATATAAATGACAGATTTCACTGTGCTGATCTCTGGCGCTAGGTTCTGTTTAATGCTTCTTGTATGCAAAAAATATTTTAGCCCATATAGCCTCTTATCCACAACTCATACTTTAGAAGGTTATTTCTTTGGTAAGATGCCTGTAATTTAGTGGAAGTAATAACAGGCTGTGTGCATTTTTCTGGATTTTTAAAATTCTAATTTAAGCGATAAGTAATTTATGCAGTATCTTGAGGTTCCTTGACACATTGGAATTGAAAGAGGAGAAATGGAAGGAAATGACAAATCTTTCCTGTTTTCTTTTTTTTTCCCATCCTTGTTTATGATTTTTCACTCATCAAGTATTTCTCAACGTGTGGTTTTCAAGAAGCAGGGTTTGATTAATGAAGTGTCAGATACAGAGGATGTCATGAGAATTTTGGCATTTATTGTTTGCAGCATTTAAATTAGCCATGGTGTTTTCAGTATTCCTTATTTTTTATTTACTATGTCTGTTATCCTGTTGATAGTAAATACCCCCTTATAGTAAATATCAGTACATAGTAAATTTTTATCTTTAGACATCTGCAGGAAGTTGATATTTGTATAAAAATTATACCAGTTATTCAGATTTGCATTTTGATGGAGATCCTTTATTTATGTATTTATTTTAAACCAGGACAGTGGAGAGTGTTAGACTACCTAAATGCTAATGGTTTCAGTGATGTAGATGCTTATGTACCAGGCCTAAGGCCATCAAAACTATTTTACATAGGGAAATGGACAGCTATCAAAACCTGGCTAGAACTACATTTTTGGCAATATCAGCAGGTCAAATAGAAGTTCAGTTGTTAATCTTTTATTTAGTAATTCCTTACTCTGGTCATCTGAAAACCTGTATACTAGATAATAGACTTCTATATTATCATGCCTTCCATATAGAAGGCATGCCTCAGTTTAACTTAGCTGGGAACAACTCTGATGAAAGCCACAAAACCAGAATGTTTCTGTGAAGTTTTTATGCCGGATTTGTGATTCTGTATTGGTATAATTAGTGGATATTGTAGATATAATTTCCTTGATCTACTTATGACATGTCTATGAGCTTGTTCACTCCTGTAGGACTGTAGAGAGATTTTTCACTTCTGACACATCCCACTTGAGTGTCAATCTTGGTATTATACTTCTTATGCTAGCAGCTCTACCTACCTTGAGTGCTTCTTGTATTAATAGAACCTGTATAAAAGGCAGGGAAGAAAGAAGCATATATTTGTTTTAGACTATTGGATTGCCTTTCTTTTGCATTGTACCCTTGAATAAATTAATATATCTCTGAGATAATGATGTGTCTTGCTTATTATTGAAGAACTTTTCTTTCCCCACCCATGTTAAAAATGACTTCCATGTTTTTACCATGCACCCTTGTTGCGATACTCTTTGTCAGAATGTGTTGTGCTGTTTGACAAGGTGTGTGCTATTCTCACAATACATAAACACTTTAGTCATATAACTATGCCATTGAAGACACTTGTGATTCAAGAACCTGGGTGATACTGCTCCTGTATTGTGTAGAGGTATTTGGAAATCTTCCCAGTGACTTTTCAGCAAGCACTTAATGTGATTCATAATGCTCTGGGATAGAATCACAGATGTGAAAGAGACCTACTGCATCATCACTTCCATCTTCATATGAGATAAGGTTATATTTCCTCAACAGAAGATGCATCGAGTATTAGATTCATACTACATTTGCTCTCCAACAACTTTCCAAACCTGGCAGGAAAAACATCGTCCTGAGTTCTTTAAAAAACATAAAAAGAAACAGGGAGTCAAGGCTGCCCTGTCCCTCTATTTTAAAAATCCTATGCAGGTTTTTATGTTACGCTTTCAGTGATGTTTTCAATAGCTGTTTAACGATATTATCTGTACTGAGACACCTGTGTAGGTATGTAGCACGTGAGCCCTATGTGGAGGCATATCCTGGATGTATGGGTATGTCTGAGGAGATAAAATTGGAGAGTATTTCTTTGGAACTAATTAGTATGACTTACGGGGGGAAAAAAGAGAGGAAAAAAAAAATCCCTATTTCTTAATTAATCTGTTTCTTGGATGCAGAGAATATATTGTGAATATTTTTTTTTTTTCAATTTCTTGTACTACCTTTCTTTGGTCAGAATAGATCACACTGTGGGAAGTTGCTGCAACAAATTCAGTTCGACAACTTAAATCCTGTCTTTTTTTCTCTTTCTCTCTTCCCTTCTCCATTCCTCCCCTCCCCTCCCTCCTCAGGTAGCCAAGGGCAGTTTCCACTTACACAGAACGTCACGGTTGTTGAAGGGGGAACAGCAAATTTGACCTGCAGGGTCGATCACAATGATAACACCTCCCTCCAGTGGTCAAATCCAGCTCAACAGACACTGTACTTCGATGACAAGAAAGGTAAACCGTTTCCTGAACTCATGGTTCTGCATCATTTTTTCTAAGAAAGAAATTATTAAAACCATTTCCCTTTAATATTTTAATGTGAAAATATTTGCTAGGAATCTATGTTTTCAGCATTAATTATTATATAATCTTTTTTGGAGGGGGGCTCACTGAAGTACTTTCTTGCATATAAAATTGTATGTTATTGATAAAGGAAAAGAATAATATTTGAAATTCTTATTGCAAGCTAATTTGGAAAACATTGTTGCAAAATATCTTGGAAGAGCATTTATGGGTGGTGAGAGGCTGGCAAGGGAAGAAGTAGTCCATAAACCTTGTGACTTGCTTTTATTAGTGTGTGGGTGTGTGTTGTTGTGTATACATATATCTATTTAAAATATATTTTTATACATATGTATATAATCCCACTATTTGCTTCAAGTGTACTGTAGTTTTGTTTGGTTGTTAGTGCAATACACGGTTGCTCTGGTAGGTGTTCTTACTGTAACAGCTAATAAAAATGCTCGGGTTTAGTGCCCTGATATTTCCAATTATACTGTGCACAGATTTTTTATTTTTAGTTAAATTAGAGGGGAAAAAAGACAGGAAAATGTCCATTCCTTACAAAAAGAAGGGCATTATCACTGCGGTAGGATATATTTCTAGGTCGTTTATCTTAATCTGAAATGAAAAAGCATTGCATTTTACGTAACAGAATGTTAACATAAAGATTACATTAGATTCCGTAAAGAAATTAAAACTAAATTTATGAGGAATAAACTCATCACTTGGCTTCAAAAATGCAAAAGCTTTGGTGCTGGTTTCAGCGGTACAGAAGTTCAACAGTATTTTATACTTAATTCTATTGCTTGAATTTATTCTGAAATGTGCTACATACTCTAGAACAGATTTTAACAAGTGCAGTTACTCCTCTGCTTAAAATTAAAGAAGTGCTGTCCAAATGCTTTGCTGAATGATTACAAGACTTTAAAACACCTTGCAGGACTGAAAATGCTTTGTGGATCTATGCACTTCAATAACAGTAGAGTCTAAAACCTGTAATTTTATACCTGCAGAAGCTACAATCAAAATATGTTTTTTTGCCATTAATATAATAGCTGAATAGAATCTCTTTATGGTGTTCAAGTGGTTCCTTTCTCTTTTATCTAATTTCCTGCAGCGTGTAATCATTTGATTTGCAATTTCTTTGAAATCATAAGTACCTTTTGAACGTAGGATTGAAGATGAGAGGTTTATAAGGTGCAAACTTTTGAGCTGTAAGTGTAGTCCTGTAACCTTTACTCATATGGACCCCTTTATTTTAGCTGTAATCGTTAGTGATTTGGGATGGGTAAATAATGTCTGCAAAACCAAAAGCAAAGAGAACTTGTCTGTTGGTAGAGCACATCAATAGTCACAAAATCTATATCTTTTATAAAATAAGTGACATTTAAAGGATGCTGAGAAGGACGTGGGAGGACTGCAAATAGATTAATTTGAACTTTGTAGCCATTTTGGTGTGAATTGAATTTTCTGTGTACTTTAGCTAAATCTGTACTTTTACCACAAATAATTGAAGTTTGTATTACTTTTTAATATAATGAATTGAAGCAACAGAATTTGAATGGCATGCAGCATAGTAAGTACTTAGAATCAATTTATATCTCCCACAGGAAATGTGAGGAGCTGAAGTGTGCGAATTTAAAGGACCACACTCTTTATTGAACTTTTAGCTTGTCCCAGGACATCGAGGAATACTTGATGATTCATTTTACGTAGGGATTACTGTGCATCTAGTAGACAGGAGAATGTCTTGATGTGGTCAAGAAAAACTTTAGGTCCTTCAATCAGAGATGCTTAGTCTTTCTTACGTCGGCAAAGTTTTGCATTCTGTGTGACATTTCCTGACTTGAGTATGCCAAGGGGAGTGGGCAGTGCATCCAAGTCCTACCTGGAAAACATTCTGCCATTTCTGAAAATGAAGTTACAACTTTCATTGGCAATTTTTTCTGTGTGTATGTGTTCTTATAAGTAAGAAAGAGATTTCCTTTACATGCTTTTGATGCTTGCATTATTGAACCAAAATGAAGAGAGAGATTTATGGCTCAGATCTCTTGGTTGTTTTCTCAGTAAATGGTGGCAAGCACAACTGTAAAGGCTGGTCTTTTTTTTTTTTTTTTTTTTCCCCCTCCCTTTCTTACTTCTCCCAGCCAGGCATACAATTTGGCTATAAAAAGCTTTCTACTAGATCCAGTCATTACATTTAATTTATTGAGAGCAATGCCTCAGCCAGAGTCTTTTCAAACCTGTCTCTTAATGTTAACCAAAACCAACCTTCAGATCTTACTTCTTGCTTCAGCACCATGAAAATTGCTGTTTAATAGTTGTGTTTCTCAAACACTGAAAATTCATGAAAACTGTTGAGTGGGTGTAGGGTACACAATGGTGTAGGGTTAAGTTCTGTGTAGGAAACAGAACCTTAGAAGAGGAGCACCACCAGTAGCCTTTATATCGATCAGACCTGAGTAACTGTGGATATTGCCACATTCAGAACTAAATCAAATTTGCATGCCTTTAACTTTACTTCCCTTCAGTAAGTTATTTTCTATATATGTACTTGTAAGAATGACACACAAAGGAACGACAGTATATTTCTTTTATGACTGGAAGCATAAAGAAAAATCAGGAAACCTTTCTATTGATTGCTCTGTATTTTAATAATTATGAGAGAGTCAGGTAGTAAAATGAAGGAAGTCAGGTAAGTATCAAAAGAGGGTTCTAACTGCAGCAGAAGATGAGGGAGATGACAGCTGTCAGCATATGGCAGAACAGGTGCCAAAAACAGAGCAAATTGTCCATGCAGCAAAAAGCCCTCTGCTGCTATATTGTCCTTGGTGGGATCCCTTTCATGTTCACACCTCTTCCTCAAGCAAGTTGGTTCCCCTGTCTTGCAAAAACATTTTCTGACCAAAATAGAAGTTGCCGTGGGCCATCAAAAGAGAGTCGCTTGGTCAGATGGAGGGAAAGTCTGCTTCCCAGTCCTGTGCCTTTCAACAAGGGGTGTATTATTAGTCTCCATTTTATTCCAAATGGATGACGTATACTATGAAAACCACATTTATATCATTTTGCTTTCTTCTGAACTGTGATGCAATCATTGAAGTTACGAGTCATATTCTTCCTTTTTCTATTTTAGATGTTCTAAATAAGTACAGAAATGCAATGAGCCAAATACACTAATACCAAAATTACATTGTTAAAATTATTCTTCTGGTTCTCCTCACGTACTGCCATGGCCACATGTTTTTAAGTACAGATTTTGCTCAGTTAGGAGGATTTTGTGGCTGGTAAAGAGCACTTCCTCCCCCACACTCCTAGCAATTTAATATTTATTTAATATTTATGAAGGAGACAAGGACTATTTTTAATGAGACATTTTTGGCACTTAGCCTATACAGCCTTACAATGATATAGATAAAAAATGAGTAAAGTTTCATTTCAGAAAAGGCAATGCTATAAATTTAGTGAATAGGAAACCACAATTCAGAGGTTGTTTCTAGGTCCTCATCACTTGAAGTAGTTGATTTGTTTTTTGTTGCAAATTTAGGCCTAAAATGTGTTTGACTCATTGTGGTGATGGGAATTGGGGGAGGAAAGAAATCCTATTTTCCTAGAGGAAACTAAGTTATAGCTTTATTTTATTAGCTAAGCAAGGTAAAATGGTTGCTTTCCTCCAACTCTTATTTTGACACTCTAAAATATATAAAAGTTGGAACTAACTTTGTCTTCATTGTTATTTTAACAGACAGTAGCTAAAATATGTGAAAATACAAATGTTTGATCTTGTGGATTTGGTCTCATTGATGACCTGTCTCCTTCAGCATGCTGAATCTCTGTTGTCCTTTCTGGTACTTTTTTTTCCTGGTTCCTCTACCTTGTAGCTTCAAGGACATTGTGTATCAATTTGACTTTTAACTCTTCCTCTTTCATTTGAAGCATAAAATCTTTACCTGACAGTAAAAAATAGATAGTCTAGTTGCATAAATGGATAAATGGTCTTAAATTTTAATAGGCTTAACAACCTTACCAAGACCCCCCTTGGTTTCCCACCCCCCAGAGGGAATTTTAAAGATTGTGTCTTCCTGGAAAATATGAATTCACAGCTCACCCTGAGCAAGTTCAGGTTCTTTGGAAACAAATGCAAATTGCATGCTGCACATGAAACGAGTTTTTCCCTACACAATTTTCAATTAAAATGAATAATTGCCATAGAAACCTCCGTATCACTTTATGCACCCAAGTACCTACAATTATATAGCTTCCTTTGGAAGAAGCACAATGTGCAACAATGTAGAACTGGCAGATATGATTTTAAATTAATATAGGTTATTTTATTTTATCTTCACTGGTGGTACTACTTAAGGATTTCGAGTGGGCAATAAACACAGAGAGACATAAATATGAATGCAGATGTATAACAAAAAGGGTGTAGCATGGAAACACAGAGATGGTTGATAAAGAGAAGACTGAAAAGAACCTTCATTCAGCTTGCTATAGCAGCTGTCTTCTTATATTCCCTTTCGGTAGGGAATATAGATACATATGGAGCAGGATATTGAGTTATAAAGGAGACGTGTACAACTGAACGATGGCTGTTGATGTCAAAGGTGTTTAATCTCATCAATATAAAAATGTGCAATCAGACTATAGAAAGGAAGAATAATGGTACGTGGTGTGTATCTAACAGTTTTGCTCAGTCAGGCAAGTGAAAGTGTAAAATACCTGCTCTTCACCTTAACAGGGAAGTTTGCAGGTCTGTTGATAGTAAAACAAGTGCTGTGTTGACGTTGATAATGATATTTGCCACAAACTGCCACGCCAGATTTTGACGAGACGTATGCCTGATGCTAATCATAGATGGGTACATGTCCCTTGTGCTTTCATCAAGTAGTAGCATTTTCATGTCTTACTAAAATATTAGAAGGTATATTCCAACCTCAAGATTATTCATCCCT